GGTTGGAATATGACATTTAAGCAAAGATTATCAAAGAAAATTTAGTTCTCTATTACGTTTTGTTTTTTATCACATGCTTTTTCAGGATAATATTTATGATTTGCAATTGCTTCAAATAAACCAATCATAATATGTAATGTATTATTTAGTTTCTTTCCTTACCACTTATAGCTGTTCATACTACTGATGAGATACTTTGGGTTCAAGTAACTAAATACATCCAACTGAGAGGGACAGTTTATAAATAGAAGCATAAGTTCATATGTGATGAAGTAAATAAGTTTATTTGATTTATACAATCAGAATGTTTCAATGAAAAATGCTTCTCTTCAAAGGATAACAATTGATTTCTCATATGGAGACATTCAAATAATGTTCCAAGTAAACTTATCATTTTTTCAAAACCCAAAACAGTTTTGCTTCGAAATTAATTCTGCTCAGACTGAAGAATGCATACTCACTTCTCTTGAGCTAATGTAATTATTTCTATTGAAATGTATGCACAATATTGGTGAAATATTTTTTTTACTTAAAAGAAGCGTTTATTCGGTCCATTGAAAATAATGATTCAAATTCAACTTGAGAGAATATATTTCTCAGTTTAAAAAAATATTTCTTCATGAATATAGGAGAGCAACATTTTTTAAATCGAGATAATGTTCTTCACTTCGAGATTTTTATTTTTACTCAGAGTTCCTGAAATCTCAAATTCATAGGGGTTAGTTTTGTGATCGTATCCTATCAAATGGTCTAGATATCAACAAAGTTCATTCAAAATCTTCTACTTGAGTTTTGAAATCCAAACTTTTCACCCCAGAAATGACTGAAAGGCGTTTGCGAGTAGGCAAATTGAGACCTTGGTGTAGTCATATCTTCTTGAAAATGGCTGCAGAGTCGAAACCGAAACGTCGAGCAACAGAAAACACTAGATGCGGTTCAACCCACGTATATGACAAAGCACATTATGTCAGTTTATTCTCTGCAGATATCTAAAGAGTCATTTTCGAAAAAATCCATCATATAGAGAATTTAACACGACACAAATGAGCAGCGAGACTGTAAAAACAACAATTTTATTGTAGTTCAAATTGTTCCATATTTCACGGCAGCTGATGAATTCTAAAAATTATATGTGCTCAACGATTTCTTGAAATGTATTAAACGACTCTGGCAACAGTTTCATCTTGTTTTTACGACAACAATTCCTTTCGTGAGACGTTTCGAAACAACCATTTACCATTTCAAACTGCACAGCTACAAATCACGTCCCAATCCAACACGCATCCTTGTGCTTGAAACTCGTGACAGTATGTGGAGTATCAACAAATACGTGCAATCCAGAGATGCACTGACACCATTTCTGAATGTGAACGGCGTTCTATTTGGAGAAGATTTGTAAACAAGCAATCAATTTATTCTTGCTGTCTAGTTTCATGGATTATATAAATCAATCCTACAGTGAAATGTTGCATGAATGTTTACGGTGGTTGAAATTGAGGAGAAGGTATTTGCTAAGCATATGAAATAACAAGTATCATGAAAAATGTTTTCCTAGTTCATGCACTCAAAACAGAAGCTTGTTCAACAGCTTTAATTTTGTCTTTAGCTGACTTTGAGAAGAACTTTGTTTTGACAATGATGGGCTGGTCAGACAGGCGCCCTTCACCCAAAAGCTTGTGGTATCCAGCTTTAACAATGTCAATAACAGGTGCCTTTACCTCGAGATGGTCTTTGTACTGCAGCTTCGTCTGTTCACTAAAGAGTGTCCACAGTTTGTCCAGATTCATTGCTGGGGACCCTTTGGAGTTTCGCCCCAAATGGTAGTTACACATACCAGGCTTTCCAAAGTATCCAGGATGGTACTTGTCAATGTTTATCCTGTGGTGATGCATACCACCAGCATTATCACAACCTCCGGGTTGCTTGCGGTGCTTACAAATACGATCATGTCCATGGCTTACGTGTTCCCTTAGTTTTCTTGTCTTTTTTTTGCGGGGCGACATTTTGGTAAAGAAAAATAATGTAGATACCCATTGCAATTGAATCAATGAAATATAGCAACTTGCATAATTTCATCCTGAGAAGGAAACAATATTTTCTCTAATCTATGAACTATTTTATTGTTTCTGCATTGCGATAAATTTTCGAAGAACTCGTTGAAATACAGCGATTTTATACAAGCTTCGAACATCAAGCATCTCAAGCATCAAACCACCAATATAGAAGTTGCTGAGGATGTCGGTAAATCGTTTGGCTTATGCCATACAATTTTTTTTGGAAATTGTGGACATGAAGCATGTGGCAGCAAAATTCGTTTCAAAATTGCTGAACCGTCGCATGAGCATCTCTCAAGAATTATTGAATGACGTCAACAGCGATCTAGATTTGCATAAAAGGTTCATAACTGGTAACTAATCATGTGTATATGGTCATGACATCAAAACCAAAATCCCAATGGAAGGGCCCAGGATAGCCAATACCAAAAAACGTACGCCAAAAACGTACGATCCAATGACAAGGTTTTGCTCACTGTTTTCTTCGTTTACCATAGCGTAGTGTACCAGAAGTGTTTGCCAAATAGTCGTACCGCCAATAAGAATATTTATTGTGGAGGTATGCGCCTCTTGTGAGAAACAATACGAAAGAAACGTCCAGTATTATGGAAAAACAATAAATGACTGAGCTGAGGTTTCTTCTAACTCTAGAATTTTCCCTATTAGAATAACTTGTCAATCAGCAGTAGACTTGAAAGCTATTTAGGAACATCAACTCAGCATGGCTTGTGAAGTGAAGTATAGCAGCTGATTAGTATGAAACAGGAAAATACTGGAAAACTAACTGGTTTTGCAGATAAAGCAGCTGGTTAAAATGAATTTGGAAACCAGAGTTCAGGATGAAGCAGTGGTTCGACCAAGAATTATTGACAATCAAAAAATCTGTTAAAATCAACCTGGAGCAAATCTACCGGCAACAAATGAACAATACTCAAACTTGAGTTCAATAGAAAGGAATACAGTTTGATGACGATTCATCATACCCTCACAGAGAAAAATTTGAATATTCAGGGGTTATAAACGATGCACACTTGGTAAGGGATGCCCATATTCAATCCTGGGCCGAAAAGTCCCGGTCCTGGAAAAGGAAGCGCGTTTTTATTTGTTCAAAATTGGGGTCGTTTTTCTGCAATTTTGGCCTTCCAATGCCACAATAACGCTATATGATATTCACTTTTAATGGTATTTCACTTCTCAAGATAGTCGATGGTAGTTTGGTGTGCCTGAGGCGTCAGAAATCTCTTCTTGAGGCATCAGAAAAAAATTCCAAAAATCCACTGCCTTCAAACCCGGAAAATAGTGACACTGAAAATCACGGTCATGAAATCCTTAACCATTTCGATGAGATTATATATGTACCTCTGACGAGGATCCAGTAGTCGCGTTTCTTCTAACAGGAACATTCATCAGGTCCATTATTTATTGTCCTCATTGTTTTTTCAAATCTCAATGTTTTTCAGGTATGTGACTGTTACAGATCCCTAGAATAGGACACCATATCGTAATCGTGATTCCACCAGTGCATAGTATAGTATTCTGAGATTAGTGAAGCCTTATATATTTCTGAAATAATTGAATTTGAATACTAGTGATCTCGAAGTTTTTGTGATTTCGTTAATAAGAGTGTCCATCGTAAATGCACATCAATAGTGACTCCTATAGACATTTGAGTTCATTTTTAGCCTGCATTTTGTTGTTTCAAGAAAAAGCATGCATGTCTAGTGCTCGGAAATTGGAATGATTGCTCTCACAACTAGAGAAAGGTACGAAATTCGTTTTTAGTAGTTGACAGTTTGTTTTTCATTTCGAAACCAAACAAATATTTCGATGAGGTCCTCTTCTGTATGCTCAAATATTTTTTTATTCAATTGTTATGAATACATCAGACACGACAGGAGTAACAGTAATCGCATTGCGGACTTTTTAGCCAAAGAAGCGGCTGGACTAAGAATTTTAGAATCCAGTGACACCTACGACGTGATCATTTCAACAATTGCGGAACTAGCCAAATGTTACAGGACAGGACAGGATGGACGATGACCTAGGAGGACAACTCTTCGGGAGGATGTACAATGGGTCATATATGGCCTAAGTGCTGTGGACCTACACTCACCCTCCCTGCTCCACAGATACAGAAACATATCTTGTGGTCTGTTCAAATATATTACGTCACATTGCACGACATTTTCATCTGGAACTGTTCGTTGCAAATGGAAGAAATTATTGTAATGCAGTTTTTCATTTCGACATATCAATTTTCACAGACATCATTTTATATACTAGTTTCAAATTTCCAGTAGATGACTGAATAATCTGCAAATCTACATTTCCCTATCGACTGTAATAATGTTTCACGCACGTGCGTACAAGATTACGAGGATATTCAAAAAGGCAATTCCAGTGCAACCTAGCAAACTTTAACATTGTTATTCAAAGCCTATTTAACTCATAAAATTTCCTTGTGCCCCGAGGAAAAAGATGAAGTACCTGGAGAAGGAAGCAATGATGGCGATAACATCTTATGGCGGAAATTATTTAATTTCCGAACTTTCACTGTGCCACTTGTTCAGAGAGGAATCGTCTAATTTGAGCATGGCAATTAATGAATCCAATATTACTGCGAAGAGGAAGCAATATCATGTGCTACTTATGGGAAAATTTACATAATGGCAAATCAGACTCTCGCCAGCTTTCTGGAATATAAAATTTTTGATGAGATTACCCAGGTCAATACAAAAAATTCATTCATATCTCCCTTTTTCTTGGTAACCTATATGATGATATAATTATGTAGGATGATTCCTAATGTTTTTGGTTTTTCAAATTGGTCAAAATGGAAATTTTCAAACACAGATTTCCGAAAAGACATTAAATGTAATCTGGTCGGTAATTCTAGATTCCAAACTGACCTGGAACCAATACTTGGTCAGAATAAAGAGGAAAGCGGAGGTAGCACTGATCCTCGCCAGACACACAAATGGAAAACATGGGGGCTGAAACCAGACATGGTATATTGGCTATATATGATGATGGTTAAACCCATGATAACATACGCATCACTGGTCTGGTGGCCAAAGATGAAGCAGGCGACTGCAATCAACAAACTAGGCAAGGTGCAAAGACTTGCATGTTTGGGAATGACGTGAGCAATGGAAACCACCGCAACAGCTGCATTGTAGACTTGAAAACAGATCGGACCGAACAGAAATTTCGGAACATGTGGAGGAGCACATATTGAATATGTGCTCCTTCCTCCACATGTTCCGAAGACACCGAAGTACACCTTCACCACGAACTTCACGGCCAAAATCATAAGCCGTGAAGACCATTACTCATCCCGAAAACATGAAACATACCGAGCGGATAGAAATTTAAACTACAGTTATCCACTGGAACTATACACATCCTTCTTTCAGGTGAAAGTGTATGCTATCTTGCAGTGTGCAAGGCTTATTAAATTTAGACCTCGAAGAAATGAGCGGATCAATATTTAAACAGAGAGCAAGAGCGCACTAGGGGCTCTGACAAACCCGAAGGGGTGACATCAAAACTGGTCTGGGAATGCCATGAAGAACTGAATGAACTTGCAAACAGGAACAAATTAAGTTTGTACTGGGTGCCAGAACATTCAGGAATCACAGGTAATGATAAAGCTGATAAATGCGCTAGACACGGATCATCAACTTCATATATAGGTCCTGAACTAGCTCTGGGGGTACCAAAATCATTGGTACGAAACCAGATTGGGACATGGACCAAAAAGAAGCACAGAGAGTACTAAACAAAAGTACCTGGCAACAAACACAGTAGAACCTCCATTGGGGAACCGTCCGAGAAAAGAATCGAAGAACTACTTCAATATAGTAGGGAACGGCTCAGAATAATTACAGGGTCACTAACCGGTCATTGTCCGCTCAGAGGACACCTGAATAAAATGGGTCTCTACAACGGAGACCCCAGCTGAAACTGTTTTTTCAAAAAAAACTACTCCTATATTCTTTTATTCTTTAAGAAAACGTCCTCCCCATTTGACCGATATGAAGTTTTGGTCAAGAAGCGCAAGTTAACTTCTGTACTCCTGATCTACCCGACACTGAATTTCCGTCTTTATTTTTCATCACAAATCTTCTTAAGTATCATTTGGGTGGTAAGTCACATCCAAGTCTGTCATTTTGAAATGATGAGAGATGTTGGTGGTGTGTTCATCAAAGTATAACGCTTCATGACCATTATCAACAGTCTTCTCAGGTCTATGCAACAGCTGAACGCTTGTGCTCTTGTATCCTGGCGTTAATGCTACGTTTGGTAGTTACGATGTAAACTGAGCCGCAGGACCAGAAACTCTCTTTTGTCTTTGGTCGAACTGATAGTATTGCTTTGTTGATTTGTTAACTTGTGACATTTGACGTTAGTTTCCCAATCAATTTGCCATAACCCAAACCACTCGAAACTGTTCAAGATAACCTGTCATGGTCAGCTCACATTGATATCAAAAATCATGGAGAAAGTCGTAAATCACCATATCCTCAAATATTTGGAAGACTTCAACATCTTGAGCGATCATCAATATGGCTTTGGGAAACAAAGATCAACAGGCGACCTTCTATCGTATGTCACCCATATTTGGGATAACGCAATCGAGTAACATGGAGAATCAAGAGCTGTTGCACTTGACATTTCTAAAGCCTTTGACCGTGTGTGGCACGAGGGGTTGTGGCCAAACTTCGATGTTATGGTTTGTGTGATCATTTTTGTGTATGGTTCTTCAGCTTCCTGAAAAAACGTTCCCTGCAAGTCTCCGTCGATGGATATCTCTCGAATAGTTCCACCATTAACGCTGGTGTTCCCCAGGGATCCATATTGTCTCCAACCCTCTTTTTATTGTATATCAAAGACTTATTGGAAATAACCGAGGATCCAATGTATTGTTTTTCTGACGACAGCACACT